GTGAATAAACCCCATCCATTCCTCATCACAATAAACACGGCAATTTTTTGCAACTGCAAAATTCATCTCTTTAAAAAGTGCTAATTGCTCCTTTTGGAAAAAAAGGGCCTGAATGTTCCTGTTCCAGCCCAGAAGGAGCAGCATGTGCACCGTGCTCTCAAGATTGTTTATCTTCTCTGCTCCTCTATTCTTAATATTCTCCACTTCAGTTCTTCTGAAGCCTGACAGGCTCCATATAAAAAGAAAAAGGGTAAATGATTTAAACAGTAGCCATCTTAGGGTTGAGCTGAATGTAAAACAGCGAGTAAAATATTCTTTTTGTTACCATCCTAATGTGGAAAGCCATGAAAAACCTTGGAAAGCCGTGGAAAGACTTTGTACCCTGCTCAGCAGGTCATCTTCGTCCCTCAGAGAGGCACTGACATGATTATTTCTCTCCCCACTTATACAACATCAGAATTAAATGCAGAAATACCCACCTCCTGAAGGACACAGCTCGAGAAATAAAAGACAGTGAAGGTCTGAGGATGTGGCTTTGCTGAGGCCCACAGAGTGTCACCCAGGAGAGGAGGGAGAGGGTCGCTCTTGGAAACCACTCTTCCAGTTTTCCAACTTGTTTGATTTGCATCTCTGTCAAAAGTTAAAGATGAGTAAAAACTGCTCTTTGTGGCCCATGGAATGATGTAATTTAACAACTATGATTTGTGCTATTAACTGCTCCTGTTTGGTGCTTTCTGCCACAATTTCATCTCAAATTCACCACCAGAAGCTCACCCGCCATCAGCTGATGTCTCCAAAGCTTTCTGCAGGTTTATTGCTGTCCTAATATTTGGGAAATTGGATTCACTGTTGAGGAATATAAGGGAAATTATGTCACTTGCCCTAATTTTGTGAAGAATAAAAAATACTGGGAGCTTCCTGGAAGACAGAGAGGCCACCTCCTTTTCCCATAAAACCAAGCACAGGGTACATCTTGGAGACAGGCTCCTCCAAGGCAGACAGCAATTTGAGCTGTAAAACTGTTTCTCATCCTCAGTGGCTTTGTGCCATTGCAAACAGGAGGTAAAACTTACTTTAGAGTGTATTTGATGCAACAAAATTGAGCTTGACCCATTAGCTGGTTTTGAACAGTCAAATTTTTCCCTCTCACTGTTAATTCAACCTGAAAAATCCCCTATTCAGAGTGAAAGGCTTTATTTAAGACTCCGTGGAAAGGTTGGAGGGGTTGGCTACCCAGGGTGCATAGGGATGGACAAAATTATTAGAACAAATCCCATTTTCAGTGACCCAGGCATTGATCCAGGAGCCCAGAGCAGAGGAAGTGTTGTGTGAAGCAGAATCAAAAACTCCCTGTAAGGTGAGGATTGCACCAGGACTCTCATTTTGGGGCCACTTAAAGCCTCTCCTCTCTCCCCATCGTGACAGATTTGCCCTCCTGGGCAGGCACAGCCTATAAATTGTCCCCACTGAAGAACTTCTGAGGTCTCTGCTTGGAAAAACAAAGATTTGTGCAAACAAGGCTTCAGGCTCCAGAAAACAGGAATTTCCAGTCAGAGCTGCCTGTCAAGCTGTTGGCACAATAATTTGGCATGGATTGACAGACAAGGGGGAATGGCTTCCCACTGCCAGAGGGCAGGGTTAGATGGGATACTGGGAAGGAATTCTTGGCTGTGAGTGTGGGGAGGCCCTGGCACAGGTTGCCCAGAGAAGCTGTGGCTGCCCCATCCCTGGAAGTGCCCAAGGCCAGGTTGGAGCAGCCTGGGCTAGTGGGAGGTGTCCCTGCCCACAGCAAGGGGTGAAACAAGATGAGCCCTAAGGTCCCTTCCCACCCAAACCACTCCAGGATTCTGTGATGATAAATTATTTCTGGTAGATTTTTCATGACTTGACCGCAGGAGGAGACACGCAGATCAAGCTTCATCCCCCCCAGGGAAATCCAACAGCAGTATTTTAGCACCGGAAAACACAATTTATTTCATGTCTGGAGTAAAACACCCTTAAAAACGACCCAAAATTGAGATGGAACCTGCCCCACACTGCCCAGACAGATCAGGCTGCTGGGACACCAAAGGCATCCAGTTGAAGCAAACACCCAAAATGAGCCCAATCTGTTGATAAAACCCAAGGATGGAGTTTCCTAGACCAGCAGTGTCTCCCCCAGATTTCCTGGTAGTGATCCCAACTCGTGCAGAAAGGCTTGTGAGCCAGATCTCTGTGTTTTTCAGAGGCAGCAGCAGATATTTGATGAGTTCTGTGAATAGAGTTGTTGATTCACTGGAAAATACAGCAGAAACTGGGTAAAACCAAATCAAGTCAATTTAAGCTGCTGACACATCCCTGGATTGGGGAGTGAAATGTAAAAAGGGTTTGTAAGCGAAGCAATGACTTGGTAACCCACACAGAAGAATTAATTTCTGATTTGATATTAAGTATATTCGGAATAAAATTACCAAGTGTGATCTGAGAACTAAAGAAAAAAAAAAACACCTTTTTGAAAAATTTTTGGAAATGGAAAGATTGAGTGATGGTTTTCAATGGGAATAATCTGAGGAAAATGAAAACATAACTTATTAAATATCTCCTATTATTTTAAAATACCTAAATACTTTTAATTAAAAATTTATCCTTGCTCTTTTGTAACTGGGGAACAAAAAAATGGAATTAAAGTTCTAAACATTGATGCAACTTTTCCCATAGTTTTGCCAGTAAATGTAGATGTCCAGAGGTCCAGCCAAAGAGATGCTGCAAATTGGACAGAAATGGGGGGATTTAATCCCTTTCCAACATTCAGGGGGCTTTTAAAAAGCTGCATTCACAAGAAATTATTCTGTTTGTGGGTGTTTGTTGTGACATGAAAAACCATCAGCATTGAAGAGATGAAAGTTCCGTGTTTGAGCTGGAAATCACAAGCCCTCCTGGGGTGCCTGAGCAGGAACTGTTGAGCTGTGATAACCTTCCTCATCTTAAAGCCCAAGTTTTATAGGGTGATTAATTTAGTCTGGAATTATTTACTCGTCTAAACATTAGGAAAAGATTTTGTATTCTTAAAAAAAAAATTATTTTCAGTGACATTTCTTCAAGTGAAAGACTTTGCAAGTGCAAAGCAGCGTGTGCTGCCAGCACAGTCACAAAGGCTTTGGGCTTTTAATCCAGCTCCTTTTAATGCATTTTACTACAAATTCCTGTTTTAGTGCCTCTTGTGTCAGCACAGAGCAGAGCTGGGGGGTGTGTGGATTTTTAACTTTGCCTTTCTCTTATTTTTCCCCTTAAATGTGAACCTCTTACATTTCTGATGCTCATTTGGGACATAATTAAAACAGCCCTTAGAACAGTCTTAGAAGGTCCTCCACCTTCATCATCTCCAGGAATACTCATAAAGCAAATGTGTTTTAGATGAAGTCCCAGCCTTCATTGGGAAGAGAAAGGAATCTTCTCCATCCTTTTGAGTGTTCATGCCCACATTACAATATTATTAATTATTTTGCTATGCAGTAGTTAGGTTCTGTCCGAGGCCAATATTTAGTGGAAGGACACCAAGAAGCAGAAAAAAAATAGATGAATAAAGTTATATAAACTGCTGAAGCCATTGGTGGGAAGATCTGCTCTGAGGTGTAAAGTTTCTAATCTTCTCCTCCTTCTTTAACTCCTCAGGGGTCCTTGTAACACAAATTGGGGTTATTTTCCTGTTAATTCCATGTGCAGGAAAACACCACTGGCTGCTGCAGCCGCCCCGTGCCCGGCTCTGGAGGAGTTGTGCTCCATGAAATCCCCTGCAAATACTTCCTGGCAGGAAGCACTGAGGGGAACACAGGTTTTTTTCCCTGTACTTTATGGATAATCCCCTCTGGAGCAGCTCAACCAGCTGGGTCAGACGCTGCCCAGCCACCCGAGGCTCCAGGGAGTTGTTTGTGCAGGGAGTTGTTGTGAGGGTGGTGCATGAAAGGTGGTTAAATATGTTTTACTGCACTTGGATTTGCCACCTCCCGACCTTGCTGAGGTTTATTTCCCTTCTCTCCATGTCCTGGGAGTCTGTAAAAAGCTCCAGTGCTTCCCAGGAGGCTTTTGCAGCCGCACATTAAATGTGGGTTTTGATGCAGGATGCAGAGGGCGTTTCCAATGGCCTGGAAAGTTGTGGGGGTTTTTAAATGAAAATTAAATAAAGAGGTAACTTCTATTCATCAAGGTTTGAATGAAAAAGTAATATTCATTTAGATGTCACAAATGAAAAACAAAGAAGGAGGAAGAGGGCAGGAGCAGAGACTGCTCAGCCCGGATCCCCAGGAACCACTGCCCTTGCAGGGATGCACATTCCTGGTGCTGAGGGGCTTCCTGAAAATATCCATATATTGAAAAGAAATGCATTCATCAGCCTGAAAATTAAGTTTTCTTGATTCCTAAGAATTTAATTCAATGAACATACGAAGAGGTCATTCCCTTTCTGCTTTTCCTTGGCTTTGGGTCCCTGCACCACCACGCAAGCTGTGCCATCAAGCAAGGTGGGCATTGTCCTTACACAATTTTACAAGCTGTGCCTGGTCCTTGCATGATCATACATGGTCCTTCCATCACTGTCCAAGGTGTTCCTGGTCCCTGTGTTGCCAGGTAAGGTGTGCATGGTCCCTGTGCCATCAGAAAGGTGTGGGTGGTCCCTGCACCACCACGCAAGATGTTCCTGGTCCCTGTGGTGCCATGCCAGGTGTGCACGGTCCTTACATCATCAAGTAGGGTGTGTATAGTCCTTGCATCATCAAACAAGCCATGCGTGGTTCTTGCATCATCAAGCAAGGTGTGCATGGTCCCTGTGCCACCTTGTAAGGCGTGCACTGTCCTTACACCGTTAAACAAGGTGCCCGCGGTCCTTGCACCATCATACAGGGTGTGCACGGCCCCTGCAGCACTGTGCAAGAAGCACAAGACAGCAGCAGCCTCCCGTGCCAGCCTTCCTTGCCCAGAGCGGGGCACGTCCCCGAGAGCCGCCGCACCCCTGGTGCAGCCCCGGCTCAGCGGAAGCCCCGAGGGCCAGGCAAGCAGGGGCAGCAGGTGCAGAGCCCGAGGGCCGCGCTGAGCAGGGCCGAGAGCCGGGATGGGCGCTGGTACTGCCGGGCCCTCTTCACCTCGGCCTGTGCGGCGCAGTCGAGGGAGCGCAGCACGTGCTGCTCCACGCTGTCGGCCGCCCCGTGCTGCTGGGCCAGCAGCCCCTCCAGCTGCAGGAACAGCCCCCGCAGCTCCGCCATCTGCGCCTCCAGCTCCAGGAGCTGCCGCTGGCGCGCCTGGGCCACGCTGAGGTGGTGCTTGGCCTCGAGCTCCTCCAGGTCCTGGCCTACGATGCGCGGCCCCCCAGGGCTCTCGGCCAGCTGCTCCACGTCCTGAGCGCCCAGGGCGATGCCCGCCAGCTCCGCCTGCCTCTGGATCTGCTCCTTGAGGCGCTGGCGGTAGCGGCTCTCCCGGGCATAGTGGCGGGCGAGGACGGCGCCGAACCTCCTCACCAGCAGCCAGAGCTGCGTCTGGCGCACGCGGGGCCCCGCTCGCCCCGAGCCCCCCGCCGGGCCCGTGGGCAGGGCGCCCAGCCGGGGCTGCAGGGCTGCGGCCTGGCGGGCGAAGGTGGCTCGGGCGTCGCCCAGGCCCTGCTTCTCCCGGGCCATGCTTTGCTCTGAGGTGCAGCACAGCACCGTCTGCTGCGTCCTGTCGATGGTCTCCGAGAGCTGCTCCAGCTGGTCCAGCGCCCGCCACAGCTCGGCCGCCTCCTGCAGCGCCCGCCCCACGGGGCTGGCATCATCCCCGGCCAGTGCCGGGTTGTCGAAGCCCAAGGTGTCCTCGTGCGGGTCCCCCTCGGCCGCCACGCGCTGCCGCAGCTCCGCCAGACGGTCCCTCATGGTCCGCAGGGGCCTCCGGCACCGTCCGTGCGGCACAGCGGCCTGGCAGGGGAGGCGTGAGGAGCCAGAGCTCCCGCGGCAACAGGAGCCGTTCGAGCCTTTCCCTCCCGGCACCCAAGCAAATATTGATGGAGGAGGGAAGGTATCCTGCGTCAGCTCGAGGCAGGACAGGTTTGTCCAAGAAGCCGAGCGGTGGGAAGGCCTGGAGAGGGAGTGCTGCCAGCACCGCTGGCACCTGCGTCACGGGACAGGCTCTGCTGCCTCAGCAGCTCACCCAGCGAGGCCTCACACAAAGACACTTTTGTTTACTCAGAAACAAAGACACACAGAAGTACTATCTGGGGGTAGGTGAGGAGGACACCCACCCGGCTCCTGAAATGCCTTCACACGGCTCCAAAGGATAAAGGTGCACAAACACACCTCAGACCTCTCAAAGTACCCCCAAAACCTGCTCCCAGTGAGGATGTTACAGCTGAAGGGCAACTCACACAAGGCCACACAGAATATGCTGGGTTGGAAGGGATGCATGAGGATCATCAAATCCCTTCCTTAGCCCTGCACAGGACACCCCAAGGGTCACACCATGTGCCTGAGAAAATTGTCCAAATGCTTCTTGCACTCGAATCATCCCACTCCAGTGCCTGTTGAGAACTGGAAAGGTGGGATGGAGGCAAAGCTTGGCCTCCCCCTCCTGCACGGGTCAGGAAGGTTCCATGGGACCACCGATGGCACAGGCAGTGTGTGAAGCATTGTACTGGTGGATGGAAAAAGGTGCTTTAGGGTTTTCCAGGCTGGAAATGAGCAGTGGGTTGACCAGCTGTGCTGCATATTCAGGGAAGAGCAGGTTTTAGTCCATGTGCTGCTAAAAAAAAAATCACAACTAAATCTATAAAAATTATCAATAAAAATACTGCTATAAAAAGCATTTCTAAAGTGCACAGGAAGAATAATTGAATTGTTCTCTACCACTCTGGTATTTTATATCATGTATTTTATAACATGTATTACCACATATGACCTAAAAAGGATGATATAAAGTATGTAACAGCTATGATATAATATCAACATAATATTTACAGAGGGACAGGAAAGGGGCATTTGGCAAAGGTGAAGCAGCTCTGAAGGGAGCAGAATTCCTTCCCTCCAATGCCATCTGATGGATGTATACAGTGAAGGGGCTCCAGTATCTCTGCAAAACAAGTTTAATTTTGTTCTCTGTAACCAACATGGCCGAGAAATAAAAAAAAAAAAAGCCCTTTTGTTCCTGGGGCTTGGAGGATGAGTGTTGTGTTAAAAAGCAGATATTCATTCCCATCAGAGAGGAAATGCCACTGGAATCAGTGCAATAAAGTGAAATGTCAAATAAGTCACAGGATTAAGGAGAAAAGCCAAAACAGACTCACAGAAACACAGAAATATTGAGGGTGGAAAAGACCTCTGAGATCATCAAGTCTAGTCCATGCCTGATCCCCACCTTGTCACCCAGGCCAGAGCACTGAGTGCCACGTCCTTGGGCACCACCAGGGATGGGGACTCTACCACCTCCCTGTGCAGCCCCTTCCAATGCCTGACCACCCTTTCCAGGAAGAAATTCTTCCCAAGTTTATTCAGTGTATTTAGTGTCAGCGCCTGCCCTGGTCGAGCCCGGAGCCCCCTGGGCAGTTCTACATAAACTCAGCCCCATCCACCCCCAAGAATCCTTGGTTAAACAATATTATCACTGCTATTTAACAAGAGGGCAAGAACAGAGGTGAAAAAAAAGAGCGATTCCTTGTTTTGCATGAAATAGCCCTTAAAAACCAGGTAAAACCTCCTGGAGCTGAGTCTCACCCCCTGAACCCACCCTGGTCCCACAGTGGCCAAGGGAGCTGGTTCTGGAGCCTCCTCCTCACCTGCTCATTTCATGGCATTTTTAGCCATTTCACAGCATTTTAAGGCATTTTTCACTTCTTCTTCCAAGAAATCATTACTTGCTCCTCTCCTTTTTCCCAGAAAAGTGGTATTTTGGAGCCAGGTCAGATGGTGATTGGGGTAACAGATCCCCAGTGAGCTGCCACACTCACCTCTGGCTAAGGTGAGGGTCTCCATCCCATCCTGCTCAACATCTTCCCACTTTTTAAAAGCTTCTATATCCACTTTCTAAAAGTTTCTATATTCAGTTTATAAAACTTTTAAAAGCATAAAATCATCCAGTTGAATAAAAAAGCCATTTTCTTTTTACATTAAAAACTCAATTTCACCAATTTTTTTGTATCTTTTTAACATCTCAACTATTCAGGAAACAATGCAAACCCAAAAATAAGAGTTTCTCTTTTTATTTTTTTTTTTTATTAAGACAATCCCACAGCTGGAAAATGAAACATCCTAGATTACATCAGTGACTTCAAAAAAACTCTAGAAAAAAATCTTTACAAATTTACATTTGTACAATACAAAAAACTAACAGCTCATTGCATATAAATATTACATTTGGTCTGCCAACACGTGGCATCAAAATCCCTGAAGTATTCATTAAAGGGACCTGAGATAGCAGATGTGAAGATATGGGCATAAATATCACCTGAAAAAAAAAATTAATATAGAAAGTAGACATAATTCTAATAGTTTTGTGCATTTTTGGAGTATTTTAAATCCAGAACACGACCTGGAGAGCCTAAATCACGTGAATTCCATAGTATTTCTACATGAAATCTGCTCTAATGACTCATGGAGGAATGAAGAGCCTGAATTAGTATTTCTACAGAAAAAGAATCCTCAGACGTTGAGTTCTGAGCACACCCGAGCAGCCACCACTCTGCCAGGAGGCATTTTAGGAAAAGAAACAGTGGATTTGGATTTTACTGGGAATATTCCGGCAGGATTTCACCCCCACCCCCCACCCAAGCAACACCTCACAGACCTAAAAATCAGGAAGATCCGCAGCACTTGCCAATTAAATCCCCAAAACTGAGGAACTGCTCCGAACTGTCCACTGGTTGAAACATCCCCCAAATATTTACGCGCTTCCCAGTTCCCCAGCGTGGCTCCGGTTACTATCAGGAGTAGTAACTCCAAGCGCTCGCTTTCACTTGGAAGTCTCACAAACTCCTCTCAGGGGACCTGCACCCACTCACTTCAATGTATTTCAGCACCATTTTTCTAACACTAAAGTTAAGGCTGTGACAGCAATTCCACTGGGAATCTCATTTTTCAGGGATTCGTAGCACAGTTGTGTAAATTCGCTGTGGGCCGAACAGGACAGAGTAAAAAGCTACAAGCTTTCAACAGGTCTTCGCATTTCTAAGACTAAAAAAAGGACAGGTTTTGGACTAAATTTTGCAGGCTGTTACTTACTGTACAGAAAGGAGTTCTTTTTCCCTGTGTAAACCTCGGATACACTAAAGAGTTGGGAATTATGTCTCGCTCATGCACAGGAATCTTCTATAATACACATTGTAAGAACACAATGACAGCTCCCTACCTACTAAATATAGATTAGCTTTGGGTGGTTAACTGCTCCTTTAGGAAATAATCAGCATTTTATAAAACTTTGCAGGATGGTTTTGAAATAAAAAGATAAAATTAAGAAATGTAAACACACAAAGACATTTTTAACCCATTAAATCCATGACAGGACACTCCAGGTCAGGACATGACATCCTTAAACCTACAGCTGTTCACTTTTCCTTGTTGTTCACCACTCAAAGATGAAATATAATCAAGTTCTTATCAAAATTAATGATTGTTAATCTGATTTTCTCACATTAATACGCTGCAATTTGGAGTGGTTGGCAAAAACATTCCCGAGACAACCAGGAGGGCTTTTCCAAATGCTTGGCAAGGTTCATCTTGCTTTTGGGAGTCAAGAGAGCCTCCAAATATTTTAATTTTTTAAATTCATTAAAAACTCTCTACTACACACCCAGTGTCAGCTCTTTTCCAGTACTACTCAGTCCTTCCACTTCCATGCAGGAGAAGCAGCTGAGGTGGACACCAAGGAAAAAATTCCAGGAAAATCACAACAGGACACAAAATTTTAAGCAGCCATGATTCTGTTTAGCTTTTGTGTCTGCAGGGTGGGGGTGGTTGGGATAAGGGGGCAGCCTCTGCTTGGCTGACGGAGAAAGGAGTGATGGAAAGAGGAAGGAGGGATAAAACTGCCCAGGATCCATTGAAATTCAAGCACCAACACAAAGGTTGTTTAGAACAGGAATACCTGGAGAGGCTGGAAGCACAGGAATTCTACATGGGAGACATAAGCCCGGGCCAGGACCACAGGTATTCCAGGATCCCAAGTGAACTGTGTTTTCCAAGGCTGAGGGAAGGATGTGCTGCCTCAGCTGACCTGGCAGTGGCCCCACTCTGGGTATGGATGGCCTCGGAGGTGCAGCCAAGAAGCCAATCCTCAAACTTTCCATCTTCATTAAATCTGCCTCCAGACATTTAGGAATGTTGCTAGTAAACACAATAAGGCAGATATAAAAAATATGGAAAGTCTTGGGGAAAAAGAGGGATAAAAGAATTAAACTTTCCAGCCAAGAAGTCCAGCCAAAGGGGAGAGCCAAAATTCATCATAAATAGCCTACAAAGGGAAGCCAAAGGGGAGAGGTGGGACATGGCAAAAAGGAAAATCAAAAGTGATAGAGAAAATAGAAAGCAGGCAAAATTTGGGCTGAATCATGGAATCATTAAGGTTGGAAAAGGCTTCCAAGGTCACCTTCCAAGTCCAACCTTCAACTGAATCCCACCATGGCCACTGAACCACATCACCAAGTGCCACATCTGCTTATTTCCTGAACACCTCCAGGGATAGTGGCTCCACCACTGCCCCGGGCAGCCCATTCTTCCCTAATATCTGAGACAACAGCACATCACTACTGCAAAATAAGCTTTGTCATCCATGCCCTGGTCTGGGAAAACACGGGAGCACTGCAGGGACAGCAGATTGGAGTTGGGAGAGGCCAAGAGCAAAGACACAAGATTCCAGCCCTATCTCCAAGGAGAATGGATTGTGTGGGGCT